TAGCCGGTGACGGGTCAGTAGCCAGTCTCTACTAAGATAATAACAGCAAGACGCAGCATGTGATGTGACTTGTGCCAGACAGGTGGACCTTCCATATCAGCACCTGACAGTCATACTCTATCGAACCAGATATGAATGCTTGTGTGTGTGCCTATGTATCAATGTGTAATAATCATGTGGATTATTATTATTATTATTATTATTATTATTATTATTATTATTACATTTATGGGGAAACGCTAAACCCCGTATGAGTCATACAGCGCATTGGGGAATGAGAAACAATCAGGTTCGATCCACGGAAGGGACAGTCAGGTCCACTTCCCTGGATCAAGAGTCTATCACCAGAAACCTCCCAGCTCCGTGCTGGTTAGCCTGCAGCCTAGCCACATTACTTCAAAATAACATAAGAAAGAGCACCTAGAAGGCCTGAACATTCAAATGGTATAAAATACCGACAGGTTGTTAGGTAAGACACATATGTAACAGTTAGGTATCTTTATTTCGAAACGTTTCCCCTACACAGTAGGGGCCTATTGGCCCATGCTAGGCAGTTCCAAATCACACCTGTTCAAGAAGGAAGGAGCACGGCAGCAGGACTACTGGCCCAAGCTGGTCAAGTTCTCTTACCATACCTGTGGCAATCCTGTCATTTAAGAGCATGAGAAAAAAAGGAACATTGCCACAGGCCTACTGGCCCATGCGAGGCAAATCCAACTCCCACTCATACCCACTCATGTATTTATCTAACCTATTTTTAAAACTAAACAAGGTTTTAGCTTCATTGATGCTACTCGGGAGTTTGTTCCACTCATCCACAACTCTGCTAACAAGCCAGTGCTTTCCTATATCTGTTCTGAACCTAAATTTTTCCAACTTGAAACCATTGCTGCGAGTCCTGTCTTGGTTAGATACTTTTAGCACATATTTACATTTCCTTTATTTATTCCAGTTTTCCATTTATATACCTCAATAATGTTCAAAACATACATTGATTTGGAAATGAAGAAAATTAATTATTTTTCTCAGGGCATATTAATCCTTTAAACAATACTCATCATGTGTAAGAAAGGTATAAAATACCGACAATATGAAAGTTAAGACACATGTGCAACATCTGGATATCTTTATTGTAGACGTTTCGCCATCCAGTGGCTTTATCAATACAGATTCTAGGACATAATAGGAAGACAGTAGAACTATATACAAAAGATGAGGTAATCAGTCCCTCGGCCTTGGAGTTAGTGTTCACAGCATCGTGGTGGAGGAGAATCTGGAGCAAAGACAAGAAGACTGGCGGTTTATATAGGCGTCAGTGGACGCCTATATAAACGTCAGTCTTCTTGCCTTTGCTCCAGATTCTCCTCCACCACGATGCTGTGAACACTAACTCCAAGGCCGAGGGACTGATTACCTCATCTTTTGTATATAGTTCTACTGTCTTCCTATTATGTCCTAGAATCTGTATTGATAAAGCCACTGGATGGCGAAACGTCTACAATAAAGATATCCAGATATTGCACATGTGTCTTAACTTTCAATACTCATCATATTGGGATGAGGACGGGTAGACAATGAGATCATGTGACTCCTCTCCAGCCCTTGTTTTCTTGAAGAATGTATTTAAGAACATAAGAACATAAGAACATAAGAACATAAGAACATAAGAACATAAGAACGATGGAACACTGCAGAAGGCCTACTGGCCCATGCGAGGCAGGTCCAAGTCTCCTACAGGCTTATGCCAATGCACCCAACCTAGTCAGGTCAGGTCACATTGACTTAAGGGAGGAACACGGCAACCGACCTGGTAGCACAAGCTATCAGGTCTAACTCACACCCACCCACATCTACTCATGTATCTATCCAACCTATCTTTAAAGCCACACAACGTTCTGGCCTCTATAACATAACACAAGCTTTTACACGTCTTCAGTTTCCATCTTTCTTCATCCCAGATTGCAGACTCAAGGCACAAGCTATCCTCAACAAGCCGCCCATAGAACAGCCCTCTAAGCAGTTCATAGTGCTCCTGTTGTGTAAGAATGGTATATAATACCGACAAGATGAAATTAAGACACATGTGCAACATCTGGGTATCTTTATTGTATGTAAAGTAAAAGGACACAAGTGCAACTAATGTGACATTTATTGTGGCAACGTTTCGCTCTCCAGGAGCTTTATCAAGCCATTGTAATGGCTTGATAAAGCTCCTGGAGAGCGAAACGTTGCCACAATAAATGTCACATTAGTTGCACTTGTGTCCTTTTACTTTACATATTGTCGGTAATTCTACCAACTTTATTACAATCTTTATTGTAGACGTTTCGCCATCCAGTGGCTTTATCAATACAAATTCTAGGACATAACTTGAAGACAGTAGAACTATGTACAGAAGATGAGGTAATCAGTCCCTCAACCTAGGAGTAGGTGCGAAGAGCACCATAGTCGTGGAGATTCTGAAGCAGAAGAAAGGAGCCTGGCGCTTATGTAGTAACGTCAGGTGTAGCAGACGAGGGCATAGTCACTGGTAGGCGGGATTCCCCAGTGGAAGTAGGTCCTTCCCAAAGAGATGGGTTAGCTGTAGTAGTAGTTGTCGTAGCCGTGAAGGTTATGTACATGTCCTCAGAATCAAGATTCCATGATGTTGCAGTGTCTGACAAGTTGTGTAAGAATGGTACATAATACCAGGCTCCTTTCTTCTGCTTCAGAATCTCCACGACTATGGTGCTCTTCGCACCTACTCCTAGGTTGAGGGACTGATTACCTCATCTTCTGTACATAGTTCTACTGTCTTCAAGTTATGTCCTAGAATTTGCATTGATAAAGCCACTGGATGGCGAAACGTCTACAATAAAGATACCCAGATGTTGCACATGTGTCTTAATTTCATCATAGTGCTCCTGTGTGGTGATGTTGCCACGAATACTCGCTAGGCATTTGCTAAGAATAACATAAATGTTTCCACCATAAACACATCATCTATCAAAGACCTCAATAAGAAACGCAGCCCCACACCTGTAACTTCCACAGTAGGCGTCTGCACAATCCCCTCTGGATTCTGTTACAAGAAATATGTAGGCGAAACAGGCAGAGATCTTGCAGTTCGCTTGAACGAGCATCGAAATGCCAGTAACAGAGACTACTTAAGGTACGTCTGTGTCCTCTACAAAGACTCCACGGAGCATTTGATGAACTGGGATGAGGCACAGCTCTTTCTCACCGAACAAGACCTTAGACGCCGACGGTGTCTAGAAGCTTCGCTAATCGCCGTCACCGATACAATAGAACGTAACACTGGAAACCACAAAATTTCTAAAACATTAGCATACATGATACTTAACCAGGCAAAGCACCACCTACCCAGCAACACAGGAGTCACATAATCTCATCATCTACCCATCCTCATCCCAATATGGCATTCTTCAGTTCACCATGCGTCACTCACACCTCACTCTCTGCCTATATATATGTACTGTCTTTCAACCTCTGTATGTTAGAAGTGATCAAGGTCCCAGGACCGAAACGTTTTCTAATAAATATGTCCTAGTGTTTACTTACGTGTTTTTGTAAACCAACTTGTGGGTATTTATTACCAAGGTTTATACCATTACCAAGGTTTATACCACACTGGAGCAAGGTGTATATCTATGTTTATACACCAAGAGGTTTATATCTATATACCTAAAGGTGTCTATATGCACTGAGAAATATCCCTCAGTGTAAATACACCCAGAGGTATATCTATGTATATACACTGAGAAGTATTTCTCTATATATACACCAAGAGGTGTATATCTTTCAATGTATATGTAAGCCTAGAGGTGTGAATCTCTATATATACTCGGAGAATTATATTTTATTTTCCATTTTAATGATGTAGGTATCCTTGAGTAGTGTACAGGTGACATGCAGCATAAATGACCTTCGTGTAGTTGATAGGCTTCAAACTCAATAAGCCAAACCAACAAGCAAGGGGTAGATTAGTCTCCTAAATATTGAACAGTGTATAAATACATGATGATAATTAGACACATGTGCAACATCTGGGTATCTTTACTATAGACGTTTCACCATCCAGCGGCTTTATTAATACAAATCCAAGGACATAATTGGAAGACAGTAGATCTATAGATACAAAAGATGAGGTAATCAGTCCCACAGCCTTGGAATCAGTGTGAAGAGCAACGTAGCATTGTATTGTATACTATTCACGTACATAAACACATGATATACACCTCAGTGTTATATACACTTCAATGTATGAAATACTGCCCCTCTAGGCTAGCTACTGGTGTAATTCTCTCAAGGGTGGAGGATTCTTGACGCTGGTGATGGGCTCTTGATCCAATGAATTTGACCTGCTTTTTCTTTCCCTGGATCAGACCTGATTGCCTCCCATTACGCTAGGCTCTGTATGACCCCCGTAGGGATTAACGCTTCCCTCATGACAGCAATAATAATTTTTCATGAGCTGTTGATGAGGCAATCATGCCCGTGCTAAGTTTTAGTATGAGCTATTGATCCAAAAAAAATTGGAGCTACCTAGCCCTTGGATCAAATCTGATACCTTCTATTCTCAAGGAGCTGTATGACTCCTAGGGGTTCAGGCTTGTTGAGTGAAATTCCTACAAACAATTCAAGGCAAGCACCAGACGAGCCTAGCCCATGGCCGGGCTCCGGGAGTAGAAAAACCCTTGGAACTCATCACAGGTAAATGTGTACTGGTTTAGAAAGACACATCAGCAAACACTAGGATATATTTATTAGAAAACCGGATCGTTTTCTAATAAATATATCCTAGTGTTTGCTTACATGTCTTCCTAACCGAATTTGTCGGTATATATTACCAGGGTTTATACCCAAGGCACATTATTGCACCCCGGGAGTGACAGCTCTCAGCGCCATCTGTTACCCAGATCATCCATTACTGTCCTTCCTCAGTTTTCCCGCGTGTTGACATGGTAACTCCCGGGCTGTTGCTCTGTCATTCCACCTGCCACCACCCTCCAGGGAGCCTCCTGCAAGCCGGTGAAACGGCTCTTGATCCAAGGAACTGCACCAGAACTTCCTTCCTCTCCGATTGAACTTGACTGTAAGCTGATTATCTCTTTAATGTTAGCGTAAATAACTCGGTTTACCTTGTTCTTAGTATATCTCACTTTATTGTAATATATTTTCACACTGTTGAGTTACTTAGCTGTTTTAAGGTTTAAATGATAAGATATTACAAGGACACCCGATAGAAATAAATAACTTGGAGTTTTTTTTTTGGGGGGTTATCCTGGGTAATTTACACATTACTGTGTAGGTTAAGTTGTGTAACTGTATTTATGTGTACCTGTACTTATTAAAATAAACTTTTTTTTCCGTATATATTCAGCTCTTAACAGATATTTACCGTATCATTTTTCTAATAATAACCTAACATAAATACACTAATAATTCAACTACCAGGCTCTCTAACACTCATTTTTTTCCCCATGAGTTTGGCAATTATTTGGTTCCCTTAAGGGGAGGTTCTTGATCCAATATATTGAACACGCACTCAAGTTTTCCTTAGAACCTTATTACCTTCCATTTTCCCAGCACTTTTTTCATAGCTCATTACAGCTCTAGAGTTGAACCCCGGGCCCTGGCTGTTATTAGAGACTGATGTATTAATGTACAGTATGAAATGAGGTTGATAATCACGGCCAGAGTGACGGAGATGTATCTTGGTTTTATTCTATATTTCAATGTGTATATTTTTAATTGTATCTTTGTTTTAGTGTTTTATTGTATCTGTTTTAGTTTTTTTATATTTTTTTGTCTGTTTTACTGCATGTTTTTGTCTACTTATTGTATCTTTGTGTTATGGTAGCTTTTGTACCATTGTTTTATTTTATCTGCTTTGTTGTATATCTTTTATTGTATTTTATTGTATATTTGTTTAAAATTACCTTTGTACCAAGCATGTTACATGGTTGGGAGAAGATAATATATCTAACTTGTCACTCCTCCCTGCAGATCCTAATTAGTGTATTGGCCAGGGTAACTACCAACACCACAAGATGAGAAGACTCATTTCCGCCAGTATGTTGGCACAACCCTTATTTGCATATCTTGATACTTCGGTTGAACTTCGACTGATGCTCTATAGTCGACATACCCACATCTATTTGATGTGTCTATGACGAAAGCATGCCACTGTGGGACACTGATAATGGTGGGTGTACATTTTTTTTTTAAATTGCTTGGTGTCTCCTTAAGGCTTGTGATTGTTGCCTTTGGGTGTAGCCAATTCTGAATTTCTAATTAATTTCACTTTTAAGTTTGAGAATAGATATTTATGTATTTTGTGGTAATATTCAAAATTTCAACAAATTGACATATCCCCCCTTTTTTTATTACTATATATATATATATATATATATATATATATATATATATATATATATATATATATATTATATATATATTTATATATATATAAAATATATATATATATATATATTAATTTTTTCCTTCGTTTTTTCACAATGAAGACCACCTTATTTTTTCCTCTTCACAATATTAATGTTACAGAAACCTTTATATTGCTTATTCTTTTTTTTATTATATATTGCTTACAGACTTAGTGTTACTATGTGCTAGTGTAAGGGAGTGCAACGGCATGTTACAAAGTACTACTACATCCAAAATGTTCATATACATTGTTCCCTAATATCTGGCTAATGGATTCCTCCTTTCACCATCTACCGTCATGAAAAGGTGAGTTTCAGTCTTGACTGGAAAAAAAAAAAATCATAATTTTAGTTTCTCGTCTGTTGTGAAAATAATTGATTTATATCGCATGATCACAGTTTGATAAATCCAGTTTTTAATTATGTCGAGACTACTAGTAGGTGTTGGTGAATGGTATATTGTGGGGTTTCTGAAGGTGCTGGTTAAAGGGTATAACTGGGAATGCTTGCTGAAGGGTATAGTTGGGGTTGGGGACTTTTGCATTACTTAAGTATGTGTTTTCCGTGTAGGTGAGTCTTAACAGCTCACCGTGGGACAGCTGGCACACCACTAGTAAGGTAAGTTCAAATTTTATACACATTGCCATTGAAGTCTCCAGTTAGTCATAAGCTCTACATTGTAGCGTCGCTACATGCTATCAGCAATAAGGATTGAAATGTGTTGCCAAGCTAGGAATAGGTCAGGTAAATATATGCCTTCTATTGTTACGGAGGGCCTGTCCCACCTGTATCCCGCGAAGAGAGCATCAAAATCCACAATTTTCACTACGTGGACATAGAGGACCCTATGTCCTTGTCTTGTCCAGGAAGGGTATTACACCTATACTAGTTTGTTTAGAGTGCATTGTAACTTCCCATCTCTGGTTAAATGATTTACTCCTCCTTTCTTGAAGTCAAGGACATAAAAGCCTTTTCTTGAATTACGATCAGCTTCCTTAAGCAGATGAGTTAATTAACCCCTTCTTTCTTCCAGAGTTTAAGTTAACTAGGGCTCGCCTATTTAGATCAGTAACTTAGTTTTTTCTGCCCCTACCCAAAAATTTGAAATAGCATTCACCTCGCGTCCCAAAGTTTGAGAACCCTCGCCTTGTAACTCAATAATAACATTTCCTACTTTAGCAACCCAGCAAATTTTCTTTAAGTGATCCAATCGGCCACAAAAAAAAAAAAATGGAAAAACTATTTTAGAGATGATCTACCTCACTCGTTCCCCTCAGAAACAAGGGTTTGTGAGAATTTGCAAGTTGTGAACGTTTGAATAAGATTTACGCGAGGCATTATCGTTCAGGTATGTGAAAAATCACATGCAACAGTTTTCGTTGTAAGTTAATTTGTAGCTTTTGACTTATTAGTAAAGTAATGATATATTAGTTTAAAGAAGTTCATTCTGTTATATCGACAACAAATAACTGACAAAAGCTAATAGAAATTTGACTGATCAGTGGACTTTTCTATTATATCCCCTCAAGGAAGGTTCCTTGATGTTGGTGAGGGGCTCTTGATTTAGGGAATTGGATCTGTACTCCAGTTCCCCGAATTAAGCCTGAATGCCTTCCACACTCCCCCCCTAGGCGCTGTATAATCCTCCGGGTTTAGCGCTTCCCCCTTGAGAATATTTCGGAGCGGGACTTGGAGGATGATAGACTACGCGCATGTCTCCGCACTGTTATTTTTTTTTTTTAATTTTAACATTTGTGAGCGGATATTCAAATTTCGCACATGTAACAAAGAGCAACATCGAAGTTATGTTGGATAAATATTCCCCCAAAAAGTCTGACAAAGTTGACGATTTGTGCCTGAATTTTTATTAACGTGCTGTCACATTCTATATTGCAGCTCATTTTCTTGTGTAAATGCAAAGTATAACCCAACGGTAAGTAATCTATCCAGTGTTTTCCTTCAAAACTGTAAAAATCTTTCTTCATTGATGTTTACCTCAGTGTTGTAATAAGGTTGATTACATGCAGTGGTGCAAGCGTTTGGTACATCTTTCTTGCCGCAGTAGTAATGGTTTTTGAGATAATTTTTTTATTTTGTCGATGTCGGAATAAATAATAACTGAAACTGTTGCATCAGATAGTTTATTTGGTCGGGAAAAAATGTTTGCTAAATATAACAGCTTAATTCTCAGCTTTAAGACATATTCAATGTAGCTTAGTCAGGTGGATCTTATTGAGTGTCACTAACATCCACCTGAAACTAGTACCTTCATTAGGAAGCGCAAAACCCGTGGGTAAATCGTACAGCACCTGGAGAAGGGAAGGTAATCAGGTTTGACCAAAGGAAAGAGGGTAGCTCGAATTCTTTAGATTAGAAGCATTTTACCAACATCAAGGAATCCCTCGAAGGGACCTTAGACTCCTTTAGCTAAGAGAATATTAACGAAGTTCTTATTCGTATCCCTCAGGGAAGATGCCCAGATGCTTGCGAGACGCTCTTAATCCAAGGAACCGGAATTATCTTCTTTGATCGAACCTGAATGCATTCCATTCCCCAAGCGTGATCCCCATGGGTTTAGTGCTTCCCACGAATAAAACTTCTTATTCCGCAATTCCCAAATTAGTTTCGGAGCTATCAGGTGTCTTTAACAGTGTATACCGTCCAGTTGAATTTTCTCCTGTGATTTTTTAACCACCTAGTGAGCACGATTATAACCTAATACCTGGAAGTTGTTCCAGGAGTCCAATGCCCTTGCAGCCCGGTTCTTGACCAGGTCGCCTTGTGGATCAGGGCCTGATTAACTAGGCTGTTGCTTCTGGCTGCATGCCATCCAACGGACGAACCACAGCCCGGCTGATCGGACACTAACTTTAGGTATCTGACTAGTTCCCTCTTGAAGAGAGCCAGGGGTCTGTTTGTAATTTTTTTTTTTACACAGGGTTTGACAAGGTTAAGGATCCCTAGCTTTATTGACAAGCTATTTACAGGTTAAGGATTCCTAACTTTATTGGCAAGCTAAGAGCTGTTACCTACATCAGCTTATTTGAAAGCATTTTTATTATGAGACATACAAGTAGGGAACAGGATGAAGTTGGAGCCATCTGTGGGCCACCATTTTCATTTGATCAACTGACTTTATCTCGTTGACATCATTATGCTGTACGAATGTGTTCCATACTCGAGTCATCCTGGGTATATAGGATCTCAGATGGAGTGAAGTTCTGGAGAAGGGTACAACCAGAGTGAAGTTGTTGCTTTCTGCCCGTCTTGTGGCATAAAAGCTTGTTTCACGCTGTCCTCGAAGTGGATCCAAGTGTGGTACTTTGACAATATTGGCCTTGTACATAACAGTAAGGCCACCCACATCCCTCCTATGTTGAAGGCTCTGCTGAAATGACAGATCTATCTAGGATGGGTCCAGGCGAGAGATGAGACGTCTTGCTCTGTTCTCTACTCTGTCAAGCAGTCGCAGATGAGAGGGGGGGGGGGCAGGCAAACCAAGAAAGTGGAGCATACTCAAGGTGCGAGCGTACTTGTGCCTCGTACAGAATCTTGCAACCCCTACTGTCAAGTAGATGCGAGATACGGCGAAGTGCTGTAAGCTTCCTGGCTGCCTTGTTTGCAAGATTTACAACATGGTTCTTCATGGTTAGTTTGGAGTCAGATTTCACCCCAAGGATATCAACTTCTTCTCCAGGTGCCAACACCCTCCCATTCATCCTTACTACTGCACCAGCATTACCATCATGGTGCCTAGAGACGATCATCATTTGCATTTTCTCAGGTGCAAATGTGCTGTATAGTCCGTGTGGCTTAGCGCTTCTTTTTGATTATAATAATAATCAGGTGCAAATGTTACTTGCCATCTATTTCTCCAAGCTGATATAGCTCTCAGCTGGTGGTTGATGTAGCTAAGAGCAGCTGGCATTTCTTCTCTTGGATAAGTGAATGTCAGTGTGCAGTCGTCTGCATATGCATGTGATTCTGGGATGAGATGAAGAAGGTCGTTGAAGTAGACATTCCATAACAATGGTCCCAGCACGCTTCCTTGTGGAACATTTGCCCCAATAGGATGTCTTGCTGATTCCGTTCCATTGAGAACTACACTTAGAGATCTACCATGAAGGTAATCACTGATGAGACATAGCGTAGAACCTGCAGTTCCCAGTGCTTTGAAGTTTTGCTAAGAGGCCCTGGTGCCTCACCCGGTCGAAAGCGCCAGCAATGTCCAGTGCTACCACACAGCTGACTTTGGATTCATCCAGTGACTGGTGCCACTTAGTGGAGAGGTTTAACAACAGATCAGCAGCAGAGTAACCTTTCCTGAAGCCATATTGACGATCACAAAGTAGTGAGTGATAGTCAAAAAACTGTCATTTGTCTTGAGATTATTGTCTCAAGGATCTTACCAGTGATTGACAGGAGTGACACTGGTCTGTAGTTGCTGATTTCTGCTCTGCTCTTCTTTTTGTGAACAGGGGCTACATTTGCCTCTTTCCATAGAGAGGGCCATTTACACTGTACTAGGCAGTGCTGAAAGATGCGAGTTAGAGGTGCTGCTATCTGGTCTGGACATCATCTCAGCAATCTTGGGCTCAACTTGTCTGGGCCCACAGCCTTTTCTTGGTCAAGCGATTTAAGAAGGAAATGCACCTTCTCCTGCCTTATTGTCACCACTGACAGTTTTGACACAGTTCTTGCAGCTAGCCAAGGAGGGTCCCTTGCTGGATCAGGAACTTGTATTGTGGTAGCAAAGTGTTCAGCAAAGAGGTCCGCCTTCTCTTGACTACTAGTAGAGGTGGTCCCATCCTGTCGATTTAGAGTTGGAATGAGTTCAGGCAGATAACCTTGTCTGTCCTTGACCAGGGACCACCAGGTTTTGGAGCCTACCCTACCTGATGCTAGCTTTCTTTTAGGGTCCACCTCCCATTTAGCAATGGCCCACTTTTGAACGTCACCCACATGTCTACAAGCTTGCCTGTGCAAGTTCCTGTTATAGGTGGTAGGATGTCTCTTATACCTTCGCCATGCTTTGTACTTAGCAGTGGCAGCCTCTCTACAACGAAAGCCAAACCAAGGCTGATCTGTAGGCTTCGTCACATATTGCCGGTGAGGAATGTGCTCTTGTTGTAGATTAAGGATGTGTCCAGTGACACAGTGTCAACATCCCCTTGGAGAAGAGCATTCCAATCTGTGGTGGCGAGCTCAGAGCGAAGGGCTGGCCAATTACCTCTTTCCCATAGCCAGGTTGTGCGTGTGGACTCCTCACCTCGTTCTGTTGGGATCTTAAGTGTCGTAAAA